AGACCCCAAAAGCCGGGCAGTGTGGCCAAAAAAAAAAAAAAAAAAAGTAAGATTATAAGGATATAATAGAATGAATTATATGAATGAAATAGATACAACAGAGAACTATATTTAATATTATGTAATAACCTATAAGGGAAAAGAATCTGAAAAAATAATAGGTATGTAGGTATACAAACAGAATCACTTTGCTGTACACCTGAAAATTAACACAGCATTGTAAATCAACTACACTTCAAAAAAACAAAGTCAAAATAAAGAAGAAAAAAAATGAGATCTTTCCAATGCAAATTATTATCTCTGTCATAACCTGAAAGTAATTGTCTTAACTGTTTGATCTGTATGGATATGGCTTTGTATACTTTCAATTACACGTAAAACATGGTCTGTCCATTAATGGAATTTGCCAGTCACATTACATATTTCTAGGCAGTTTATAAAATGATGCACCAAGAATTAAAGTATGATATTCTCACTTAAGAAATGAAAAAAAATAGATATAACAGAATGAATGAATAAGACAGAATGAACTGTTGTGATAAGTCAGCTCCATCTTATGAAGGCTAACATAATATAGGAAAGGAGAATTCAAGCACTGGATGGCAGGCTGGACTCCCATTCAAGCACCTGCATCAGTGATATTCTATGATTCTAAGTAGCAAAAATGGTGTAACACTTCATTTACTGTCTATCCTTAGGAAAGTGTCTAAGACTCAGACAATAAAAGTAAAGGAAGATAGGTGAATATAATCAAATACTGAATTATTCAAGGCTGAGTATAACTGCTTCTAAGACTGTGTAAGGGATATCATATTTCCCATTACTGCATCAATTACAACAAACAGGAGCTTGTTTGATCCAAATGATTTCACTCCAGTTTCAGAACATGGATGCTCATAGCAACAAAAAAATGACATCTGAATGTATTCATATATAATTATGTTACAACCAACTTACCTGTCCCTCTCTCGCTCTTTGCCTGAGGAACTTGCCGGCTTCGATCCTGCACCTTCAATCTCATTCTGACCGGAGAAGCCTGTACCTAAATTAGTCATATGAATGGGTCCATGCTATGAGCAGAAAAATACAGTGGCATTAGCAAATCTACAACTGCTGTATTGACTTTAGCTCCTTAATGTAACTGTCAAGTGCTTCATCTTTCTGATAAATTGCAGTAAGCTGCACTACATAGCTCTTTGGCATTTGGAGTGTAACTATAGTTTGAGTAGAGACTGTTAT